AAAGAAGTAAAAATCACTTGTAGATGGTAAGTACTTGAATGCTATGGGCATCAACTAAAAATAGTTCATTGAAATAGCAAGAAATCTGTTTGAAGATAAACTGGAAGGAAAATAAAATCGAGGAATATTGAGGGAGACAAAAAAGTTATATATGAAGAAAACATGAAAATACTGACAAGACACAAATGAGACCTTAAATGGTAAGTTATACCATGTCGAAGAAATCGCAACATAAAAATAATTCTAAAGAAAACTAAGTTCTTTAAAAATCTGAATAAAAATAACAGTTTTATTTTTGGAAATAGACAAGTTGATTCTAAAATTCATTTGGAAAAATAAGAATAACCATAATGTACAAAATTAGAGTCATAAAGGAAAACTAGCCCTAAAAGATATTAAAACATTAACAGAAAGAAAACAGAATAGAACAGATACGAAATTCTAGAAATAGATCCTGAACCAAATTAAATTTTAAAAGTACAGGAAGAAAAGAAAAAAGTTTTTTCTTTGTGTAGTGGCTTTGCCTTCTAAGTTGAAAACAAAATGAAGAATACTTAAAAGTAATGGATGTGACTAGATTAAGTTCTGTAGGGAATAACATCCTAAACAACAACAAAAAAAACAACTAATAAAAGATGTTTGCCAAGGGTTAATTTTTCCTTATTACAATTTCTATAAATAAAAAAGTAAAAAGCTCAACAACCCAATAGGTACATGGGCAAAAGATACGACCATTTGAAAGACGATGCTTAACCCCAATTAAAGCAAATAAAATCATAGTTGAGATTTCCTTTTCCAGCAATCAGATTTTCAAATAGATTTGGATAAGTTATCAAAGGAACAGGGGAACGGGCACTCATTTCTTCAGAGAAAATTGGTAAAATCTTTAAGGAGGGCAAACTAGGTTTTTAAATTAAAAAATATGTATACTCTTACTAAACAATTCCACTGCAATCAAAAGAATATTTTGAGATGTGAAAATTATGATATTCCAATTTTAATGTTAAGAATACAGTCATGCTCATTTATTGACCAATTGTCTGTGACTGCTTTTGCACTAAAATTGCAGAGTATTTCTGACAGACCATATGGCCCACAAGCCTAAAATAACGTTTGTCCCTCCACAGAAATTGTGCCTGATCCTGGCTCTAGGACAGCACTGTATAATAAAAATTTCTGCAATGGCAGAAATGTTCTCCCAGCTGTCCACTAGCTAAATGTAGACAATAAGACTGAGATGAGTGTAGCTTATGGCAATTAGAAAGTGGACAGTGTAGCTCTAGAAAACAAGTTTATCTTAAACTACACATATACTTTTACATGTGTGGAATAATATATACATGACTTTTTTAATCACTGCTTTGAATAGCAAAAAGTAAATTGTAAAATGTTAGAACATTGGTTATATTTTGTACCATCCCTATAATGGAGTACTAGGCAGCTTTATTGGAAGATATCCAAGGAATTAAAAACAGTGTAGTATATAATCTTTAAGCTTTGTTTAGTGTATCACTGCATAACAAACCTTAAAACTTAGTACTGGTTTAAACAAGTATTCAAATTCTGTGGGTTGATTGGGCTCAGCTGGGTGGTTATGTTCCACATGGCTTGACTGGGGCTACAGCCATTTGAAAGCTTGACTTTGGGTAGCAGTTGGTCCTGGCTGTCACTTGCTGGCTCCACTGGAGCTGTAAACTGATGTGGCCTTTCATATTGGTTGGAATTCTCACAGCATGGCAACTGGGTTCCAAGTGGATAAAAGCAGATCTTAAAAGTCATTTCTGCATTCTATTGGTCAAAGTCAGTTACAGGGCCCTTCCAGATGCAGGCAGAGGGAAACTGATTTCACTATTCCATGAAAAGAGTGGAATTCATGACTATCTTTAATTCACCACAAGTGTATGTATGTGCACATACACACAAAATGTTTATATATTTATAGAAAATCCTTAGACCACACAAGAAGTGGTTGATGATGGTAGCCTTTATGTAGGGAAATAGAAGTTGGGAAAACTTTAAGCCCCTTTCCCCACCTCCACCCCCATGCCACTACTAAAAGGGCCACTGGTTAACAGCTTTCTCTTTTTCAATAGTCTAAAGCATAAAAATGACCTACTTCTAGGCCATTAAACCTGATTTTAAAATAACTAGATTATGGACTGCCAGGAGAGTCTGAGATCACAGCTCTGCTGAAGGCAGTACAGTATAATGCTGAAAAGCTCTGGGTTTGTGTTCATATAGAACTGGGTTTGAATCCTGGCTTTTTGTCACTATTTAGCTTCATATGACCATAGGCAAATTTTTAATCTCTTATGTAAAATAGGAATAATGGCACTTTACCTTCTAAATTATGATATATCAGCTGCTTATTGATTGTGTGGAGTCAAAATATGTGTCCTCAATCATTGTGCCTCCTGTGCTCAAAATTACAAATGGCCTTCACTATCAGCTCAAATCCAGACTATCCTGGTGTTTCCCCACTTTGCCCCCACCCCCATCCCATCCCTTCTACATTGTCCTTCATGAAATAGGCATTTGATGACCGGAATTTTGTATTAACTTTGGTTTCCAATGTGTATTGTTGCTGATGAGTCACTGAGCAGATCCTCAATAAATAATTACTCAATTGAAAAAGTTTGATTTTTCTTTTCTGTGTGATCACCAGATGGCATTACAGCCTATACAAAAGCAAGGGTAAGTGCATATCTGAACTAAGATGCATTCATGTTTTTGTCTCCAGAACAGCAGAGCCGCATGTGTCATCTAAATAACTGAGGACAACATAAAGGGAAGTCTTAGCCAAGATCAGTTGGAATCAAAGGCTCACAGAGTAGGAGGCAGATCTGGCTTTGAGTGGAAGGAAGACCGAAGATTTACTAAAGAATTAGGATCCCCAAAATTTCATTCCAAAGCTAACTATATAGTGGGCTTAAACTTATTTAGGGGAGGCCCAGGCCTTGAATTCTACTTAATGTTTTCTCAAAACCTGTAGAAAATCATACAACATACATGGAAATGGAAATGTGGAGTTGCAGTTCCACTCTTCACAATGGCTACTTAAAATTTTACCCTGGTACAATTCTAGACCTCTCAACAGATGACTTAGTCACAGAAAATTGAAGTCACCTGACTAATTCCCATGTCTTCAAACAATGAAGAGTCAGCACCATACTCCCCATACCTCCAGTTACAGTAAAAGCACGTCTGTCTTCCTCGGATCCCGTTCTTTTAGGAGCATTCATTATGAGTTTAAAAAACAGGGAAGAGATAGTTCCCTGTGTTTTTTTTTTTTCAACCAATCCTTTCCTAAGATAACCATCCTGCCAACATAATTGTGCTTGAAACTTCCCATAGTAAAACAAAAACCTTCAACCCTGGTTTCTCCAGTCTCAGCCAAACTTTTTCTGCATTGGGTAGTTTCCATCTTCCTGCTTTCCAAATACTCAGCACCTCTGGTCTGATTTCTTCCACTTTGCCAGAAGCAACTCAATGTTAAGGACCATGTTGCTGAATCTTTTGTAGCTGATTTTAGGCCTAGTCTTGACTTTAAGGTCATTTGACCCCGTTGATCAGTTTGTCCTTTGAGTATTTTGGCTGTCAAGACAGCACACTGTGTGCCTCTCCTTTTTCCAATATCTTTTGCTCCTGCCAACCTCCCTCCCTTAATACACCCTCCAGCCGCCACCTCCATACTTGGTCTCCTTTGCCATTCAGCTCTACCTGATAAGTTTCTCAAGCCTTGGTCCTAATGTTACCAGAGAGTAGGCCCTTCTCGACGCCATTTCTGGGCTAGGTTCCCGCACCAGGGGTCAAACCTGAGCCTCAAGGAAAACTGGATACAGGTTAAAAACAATATTGTTTATGATTAAAAAACTGATTTATAGAATAATTTAGAAGCTAAAAAACTTTAAGAAAAAGGAAACTTAAAATCAGTGGAGGGGCTACTCACTTGGCCCGTATCACTAAGGCCTCTCTATTCAGGATATTAGCAACTCATTGCTTCCTTTATAGCAGCTAAAATTAGTCCTAACACACACCCTTTTACCCTAAGCTCAAGACCCATAAATACCACTTAAAATGGATGCCAAACTGAACTTGCCTTATTGTCTCCCCAGCTGAAATATCTTCCAGTGTTCCTTAATAACACTGCTAACCCTAGAGTTGTCATTTATCCATGACACTTCTCTCCATCTACTCTATCCAATCAAATTAACAAGACTTGCTTTTTTGTCTTACATGATTGCTTTTTCCTACTGGCCCCTAGTCTCCCATCTTTGTCCTCTCCACTATCTTCACAGTGGACCCAGGACAATTTTTCAAAGAGGCGAATCTGATTCAGCACACTTAAGATTTTTAAAATTTGAGTGCCAGTATTCAGGACTTGTACTCACTAATTTACTTAATACTTCAGGTGACCGTCCCTTTGTAATTGTATTTGAAACTCCAGGGAAATGGCTATTGCCTTCAGCCTTAACTGCAATTTATGAGTCCTCCTTAGGTTTTTCCACACGTGGTATTCCTTTGCTCATCCAGAGCCTGTTATCAGTCTCAAGAGTGTTTTACATTCAGTCAAATTCACCAGATGGTGGCGGCGGTCTTTTCAGTGAGATGGGTTCGCTGGCTTTCGCCTCAATGACCCTCCTGCACAGAATTCCTGAGATTAAAAACCAGCCAAATTGGTATCGTCTTCCCCTTCCTTGTGCTATCTACCAATCGGCAAACAATCAGAATAGCAATAGGGTCTAAGCCAGGGACTTCCGCGACTAGCTGATAAGACACCCTATTTAAATTTTACACCAGGCAATTTAGGGGGTGGTAAAAAGCTTTTTTGGGAAATGGGACTCGAACTCGTACGATGTGGCTTTCTCCATTTCCCGCCACAGGCGGGCTCCCGGATGAGAGAACAACGACCGCCGCTGAGAGCATCAGTGAAGTGCTTGCGCTCCGTAGGGGGAGGGGCCTGGGCGCGCAGAAACAAGACCCAAGGTGGGTGGGGGCAGCCTCTCGCGAGAGTGGGTTTGTTCTTGGTCTGCAGCCGCTGCTGCCACCTCTTACCAGCGCCGTTGCTGCGGGGGATTGTGGGATCCTCCGCGTCCCGCTCGCTGGGAGAGGTACCTCTCCTTTTTCTCTCTCCCTTTCCTTAAGGTAGGCGTGAAGCGGGTAAGAATCGGGGTGGGGTGGCCGGGGGCTCTCCGCGTCCGCCGGGAGGAGGCAGCGATGGCGACAGAGGCTGCGGGGAGCCGGTGGCGCGCCTTTCTTGCTCGCTCCCGCCCGCTCTGCCTTCCTCCGCGCTGCGTATGTGAGCCGCCTAATCGGCGGCCGCCATGTTAGGAGCGCAGTGGCGGCGCAACCAGCCTCCTCGGGTGGCGGAGGTGAGCGGTCCTCGAGGGATAGACGCGGTCAGCCAAGGGCCCAGGGTGTGGCGAAACAGTCGGGGGCGCCGAGAGCAGCCGATCGGCTGAGCGTCCCGCGTCCTGGGCTTGCTGTCGGCGGGGGCGGGACAACGAGCCCGTTACACGAGCTGCAGCGCTGAGGGAAAGGGAGGAGCGCTGGAGGCCTGAGGGACTCACTGTCCATAGGGGCCTGCCGTTTGGGGAGGATAGTTAAGATAGCGAAGCTCTTGCATAGCGCCACTCCCATATACATGTTTGCTTTTTATTCCCCTTTGCGCCTGAAAATGTGTCCCAAAATGGAGGATTTCGCAGAATCTGAAAAGCTTAGCCGTTTGAGCAGCGTTTTTGGTGTCATGGCCTTCGCTCTGCTCCTAACCCATCGCTGCATAGCGCCCCCTAAGACTCCCCTGTCCTCCCACACATGCGCGCGCGACTTTAGCCGAACCTCAGAAACAACCTCTCCCCACCCCCATCGCTTAAAAATGGCCGAAAAATTGAAACGTTAACGCTTGTTTTCCGTATTGCGTCGTGGATAAAGCCTTCTGCAGTACGCTGCGAGGCAGGAGATTGTTACTTGTTTGGAGAGTCACTTCACATTCCTTTTCCCTTTATTAAAATGCTATCAGTCTAGGTTACTCCAGAGAGGATCGTTGAGGTGTGGGACCTTCCGGTTTCCAGACAAAGGGTTTGGAGTATCGTGGTGTAGTCCCATCGTTGTTCTTTTCATGCGCTGTGCCATGTTCTGTGTTCCACAGGGACTTTCCCATTCACCGTGGAGGGCTATCTCCTATATGTTTATATTGCTTTGTCGCCCTACTTTGTGGAATATTCCTGTTGGATCAGTTACAATTTTCCAGCCAGATATTTCTACAATGGTTATGGCGATTCCGAAATGTCTAGTCTTTCAAGCGCCCTAGAATAATGAAGAGTCGTTGATTTTTCCATGTCGTAGTCATGAGATTTTTGCATTGATGCTGCGTTTTGCTTGTTGAACAGAGCGTGGTTTAAGGTTTTTAAATAGTAAGACACAGTTTTCTCCCAGGTAAATTTAAACAGTTCTCTGCAGGCAAAAATACCTTAAGCTTAAATATTCAAAGGGAAATTTCCTTTTAAAAAACTCAATGGTTCGGTCATCTAAGCAGCCTAGCGACGTAATTTTTCAACATTAGTATTGTTTTAGTAATCAAGAAGGCGGGGTAAACAGGTTTTGTTGAAAAAACGCTCTGTGGTATGCCTTTCCACTTAACTAGCATGTTTTTACAAACTTGAAATTGAACACAATTGAAGTACTACATGAAGATTTTTCTGGTTGGTTATATAAGATTTGGAAAAGCGATCATTAGCCAGAAGGTGTTTGTGTTGAAGTGCTTTAAATTTACATTTCTTCCTTACATCTAACGTTACATGCTTATAACATTAGTATATACTTTACAGAAAGGAAGTTTTCACTTTATCATCTTTACATATCTCCCTTCTCACTTATGTGTAAGTGGAGTTGCTTTTACATAGCATTTTGAACTAATTCGGAAGGATTTAACCACCCTTGATAAAACATTGTGTATGTTAAAGGAGTCTTTAAACATGCTAATATTAGGGAAGTGTAACTAATATAAGTCCGTTAATGATAACAAATTTTAACGATTGAGGAATGCAAAGAAAATGTTTTTTACATAATTTTAGAAATAAAATGGAGTTCAAATCCCTAATTTTATGGAAGAGAACATTTAAGTCCAAGGATGCAGTGGCAGTGTTGCCAGTGCCTTCTAGAATGCTTGCATCTTGATTGGATACTTGAGTTAGACTCTTCATGTGTTAATAAATAGGCTTGAAAATGAAAGGACTATTCTTACAGGAATGTATCCTAAGGAAATAGTGTGTTAAAGATTTATGTATATAAATGTTAATCTCAATTATTAAGCATGTTCAAAATCTAAAAGATTCAACATTTGGAAATGAATTATAATGTGGCCATCAAATAGCAATCTATACAGCTATTTAAAACAATGTTTAAAAAGGAGAGTAATGATGGGAAAATGATAATGAAATATGGTATTAATTGGAAAGAAAATGTAATAAAACTGCTGCTGCCAAATTTAATATATTGTTGTTTAAGGGACATGTAAATAAGCATAAAATGAGAAATATACCTCAAAAATATTTGCTCTAGATGTTGGTGCTATGGGTAATTTGTATTTCCCTGTCGTTTCTTTGAAATTTCCACCAAAAAAAATTATGTTTGCTTTCGTAATGGGGGGGTAGAGGGCATTTCTTGTAGGTGTTAGAACTGCTTAATACCAGAATCTCAAGTTATTTTGTATTTTAGGATCTCTTGTATTTTTGAGGGGAATTGAGATAGAAGTGAGCCAGGTTCTTGAAGTCTGAAGTGCAGTTTTCAAGTGACAAAAAGTTGTTTGCTATTATAACAGAAATCTGGAGACATTCTTATGTAAAAATGTTGTTTTCCATTATTGTGACTAATGCTAATTAGGTTACAATAGGAACTGCACCCATTAACTACTTCAAGAATGACCAAAAAACAAAGAATTGGATAATGGTTTATTAGATGTTCTTAGAACATTTTTTAGTTAAAAGTACTTTGTTTTTATATATCGCTTAGTTAGAATTGCTTTAAAAGTATTCCACACTTGTGGCAAGTTTCTGAATGCACTTGACTTGACTTTGGGATAGACAATTCTAAGTTGCTTGGGTAGGATAGAAGGGTTGTAAACTGTAGTTTTGCGTACATGCTGCGCAGTTATTCCAAGGTTAACACTGTCCTGGAAATCGTTGAAATTTATAATTCTTTGCTATGTAGTGGACGTTCTCATTGGTTCAATTAAAAAATTTAAAAAAGCTATTCTAAAGTTTAAAGGCTAATTGATACAAAATCCTTGCTTTTTTTCTGGAAAGTTTTGAAGATGGCATGTCTCTGGCATTCTCTTTGATCTAGAGTCTCACTAGCCTGTGGTTGGTTGTTGGTACATATCTTTAGGTAGAATTGGGTTAGTAAGAAAACAAGGAGGGTAACAATGGGCGGGAATGAGGTATAGTTCTTCCCAGCTACTGCTATTGGATAAGAAGTACAAAGGGGGAAAACATCTATGGTGCATGTCATAGTGGGCAGGCAGTAAATGCAACAAGTATGGAAAGCAGTCAATTGATATTAGGGTCTAAATAGGATCTTTGATTTGCAGTATCATAGATAGTTCATGAAAGTACAGAACTTTCTAATTTTTCAAGGTGATTTGTATGGGTTCCCCCTCATAACCCTTTTGTATGAATTACTAGGATATTAAACATCTTCCTTTGGTAGAGTAGCCCATAGAAGAATCTATACCATACGTGAAAATTTCAAGTGAAGCATTTGAGCACCTGATTTGTGCAATAGTTGGGAAAGGAACCGCAATATCAAAGAAATACAAACATTTGTATTAAAATATTGTTGCTGTGAGGTGTGAGACATCAGAACAATTTTAATACTTAACTGTGTGCCCTTGTATGGTCAATGGCAGGGGTCTGCAAACTTTTGAGATGGAAGAGCCACTGGGGTCAGCAAATTGTGGCTCTTTGGGTATGTACATGTGGTTCTGAAGTAAAATTGAAAATGAATAAAACTATCATAGTTTCATTTATGAAAAATTTCTTTTTAAGATTTTATTGGGGAATCAGGGAAGGGGAACAGACAAGTTGCTGTCCTTTTGTTCTTCAGTCTAGTTGTGGAGGACATCGCTTCACTGGCCCATGTTGGTATTATCATTGCACTCTTCCCGGCTGAGGCAGATCAGTCGTCAGCCGTTGGACAGCCGCTCACACTGGCTGTCGGCCATTTACAGAGCCCACTGCAGTCTGCGCCGTTGCCGGCGACTCACGGCAGCCCAGCTCCAGGTCGAGCTGTTGTTCACCATCTTAGCTGTAGAGGGCACAGCGTCACTGGCCCATGTGGGATCCGAACCTGCAGCCCTTCTTCTCAGAGCTCGCACTCCCAAGCCAACTCTTAACCAACGAGCCACTCAGCCGGCTCCGTTTATAAAATGTTTAAAGGATATTATTCACATAATGGTGACTATGTAAAAATATATTTACAGATCTCGAATAATTTTTAAATTGTTGTGAGGGACAGAATTGGCTCTTACGGGGTCGGCAAACTTTTGAGACGGAACCTACCCAAAGAGCTGCATGTGGCTCACAAGCCTCAGTTTGCCGACCCCTGTCTGGGAAACACCGTGGAGGAGGAATTTTTACACGTAAGCCTCAGGAGACACTAAGAAATATTCATAGCAGCATTCTTGGTAAGATAAAAAATTGGAGACAGCCTAAATGTTCATCATCTGCAGAATAGATGTGTGTGTGCCATAATGGTATCTATATTGCAGGGAAAGTGTAGGTTTAATTAATGTATAAATCAGGTGTTTTAAAGCAAGTAACAATACATACATATTAAGTCAGTTTGTAAAAGAAAAATAGAAATGCAAAATTAACATGTTTTTTAAGGATAGGTATAAAGTGGTAAAACAAAAACGGGAATACAGAAGGGAAAGAGGAATGCATTGGAAATTGATAGGTAAAAGGTATCTAAGGTCTTGTTAATGTTCTGTTTCTGAACTTGTATGTTCGTATACGCAGTGGTTTGTATAATGTATTATATAAAGTGGGGGTGCTGGGCCATAAGAATAACTAGTATTACATGAAGAGAGGAGAGACACATTCCAGCTAATTATATTTGCTTGATTACTGAGCAGTCTGCTCATAAAA